AAACATAATGTAATTTCTGAACAAAAGAAGAACATGCACGGAGTAATCTTGACTCAAAGCTAAATTCCAGTTATGATACTATATAGTTCCTGTAAAATATTTAGAAATCAAACTGCTTTCTGTGGTATGTATTGTTACATTTTAAGTTGGGGGGGGGGGGTGGGGTGTTTTGTTTTTTTTTTTTTTTGGGGGGGAGGTTGGTTTGAGGAATTTTTTTGTTTGGTGGGTTTGCTTTTTTTTTCATTTTCATTTTAATATTCATATTCATTCTGCTTCTAGCAGTAATGAAACATTTGGCTCAGAAGCCTCAGAAGCCAAATGCCAGTTTTAAGTTTCTGCTTGTCGTTGCCAGGTACTAACTCTAAAGTATCTCTTCTTACTGAGAACCCTTCCAGAAGGTGCAGCTGTGTGCTGGTTTCATCTTGCACTTTGTGGCTCTGTTGGCAACCTTTGAACATAGTATGCTCCTGTCTCTCACACACTGCCATTGCCTTAGCACTGTTCAGGCCTGTCTGTGTCAGGGAGAGGGAAGAGTTCATGATTGAAGCAAACCCTGGCTTGTGGTTCATCTCACTGGTTTTCACTGTGTCAAGGTAAAAATAAAGCCAGTGAAAAATTCAGCTTTTATCATGTGTCATCAGAAGCTTCCTTACTATCTGGAGACCCACTACCAGACTTGTGACTAGAAAGAAGACACGAAAACTGTGTTAAAGCTTTTCAGAACCGTAATATTTTGGAGAGTGTGGAATTTGAGAAAAATTACAGCAATTCGGGGGAAAAATGATTGCTTTACATGAAAAACTGATGCTGGATTTTAGCAAAGGGATCTACAAAGTTGCTCAGCTTATTAGGAGTGGATTTGGTTCACCAAACCTCCGTGCTATACTGCAGCATGCTTCAAAGCAAAAGATGTTTTTGAAATCAGGTAATAAATGCAGGTTGCATGTGAGCTTTTTTCACTTCTCTTTTATTAAAACTGATGTATCTGAAAAGTTTTCCTTTCCCTCTGTAGATCTTAAGATGCATGCTGAGTTTTATTCTGGAACACCTTATCTAGAATCAGGAGTTCTTCAAGGATAACTTGTATTCTGCCTCTGAGTGTCAAAGTGGGTGTTTTTTTTCCAAAATTAGGTGTAGTTTTGTTTGGTTTAGCCTCTGCCATTTGCTCATTTTGAAATTGAAGGGCACTGTTCCAAAATTGGGCTGTCTTCTGTGTAAGTGTTCTAAACTGGCTTCAGCTCTGTAAGTACTGCTAAGTCTTTTGTTTCCTGACGGATATGTGTTTCGTGGGGCCTTTAACTGAAGATAATTTTCTATTTTGTGCAAAATTTGGGAAGTTTAAAGTACAAATCAGTACGATGCTGTGAGTTAATTATATTGGAGATGGCGCAATAAGTAGGAAATCCTAGAACAGGTGGGAGGTTAAGTGATTTTAATTTGTTAATGTCATCTCCTACATGCTCATGGAGGGAGTGTTTTTTTCAGTGTTGCTGAGTGCTGTAACTGTGTGAATTAGATGCATTCTTCTGTTACTGCTGTGTTGAAGATAACTGCAGGCTTTATACCTGCCATCATCTGTTTGTATATGTTTGTGTCTTTTTGCTGTAGAGCTTATATTCACCAGTGTATGCATAGTATTAAAAGAGAGGTGAATATCATGTGGTTTTAGCCAAATACACGAGTAATTTACAGTTTATGTATTTGTGGCATAAATTGTTACTATTTTAAAGGCTTTCTTCATATCTAAAATTTCAGCAGTCTCTTTGGTAGCTAGAAACTCATAATTTTCGAGAAAAGGAACTTGATATATGGAGGAAGAGACACCAGAAATCCCATAAACTCCTAAAATTTTAATATTTTTCAGATTGCATATTTTAGGGTAGCAGAGGAGTGATGGAAATCTTCCTTTTAACCAGTGTGCCGTTGGCTTTACATACTGTATGTTCTGTAGTCGTTAGAGGTTTTGCGTGAAAAAAAAAGGTAAATGCATAGCTTCCAAAAGCCTTTCACTAAGTTGATTATTGATCCAAGAACACTGTACAATGAAGAGATTCTGTAACAGATTGTGATACAAACCTAGTTTATAAGCTAAGATCCTGCTTAAAGTGTACACAAAAAGAATAGAGCATCAGGATAGTTGCCGTAGGAGGCAGTCTTTGTTTAGGTAATCTAGGTAACGTCTACATCCACCTCATTCCTTATGTCCCACAGAGACAAACCAGTTTCTGTAGAGTCTTTTTTCACCCTTCAAGGGCTTCTTCCCATGAACTGAACCTGACATTGCGCTCTCCTTTTTGCTTTGCTTGGACTCCATCCCTTTTGTAGAAAATCAAAATTTAGTGTGAAATAGAATTATTTTTCTAAATACACCTTGTTTATAGGTCTCTTGCCATCATTTCAAGGCACAGTTTGGTTAATGTGAGAAAGCATGGTTCTCTTTGCTTTCAGTAGCCTTAAAGGACTATCCCTGACCTGCCTAGCTTTCACCCAAAATGTTTCAAATGCCTGTTGCATTTTACTTCTGTCCTCTGTCTCTGTTTCTCCTTGTGTCTCCTTTCTTTCCTCAGCTTCAGTTTAGACTGTTGCTGCATGCTGCCTCTAGCTGGAAGTATGAGGTGAGCGTCTTTGTTCAGAGGTGACGCAATTTCATTGCTGTTATGCAAGAGGGAGAATGGTACTTAATGTAACTAGCAACCTAAGGGAGCAGAAAGTTACTTTCATACGTAAAAATATGTAAACTCTGTTCTTAAAACCTGTTCTTCCTCTGCTTCCATATAAGGGATGCATTTTATGCCCTTAGCATTTTGTGAGTCTGTTACTATCTCATAATTCTAGCTTTTAATCGGAGCGTTATACTAAGTCAGCTATCTGACAAAACTTTGGAGTTTATTATGTCTACTCGTTTGCATTTTTCAGCTACCTAGGGTGCCACCAAGGAAGGAAGTACTGTGGTTTTTAACAGAATCTACCCTCTAAAAAGCTAAGCAGACAACCCTTAGTTACAGTGCTGTCTTTTATTGCTCTATCATGTCAGTCTAGTATCATGTTTTCCTTCATTTTGTCCAGAACTGGTAATATAACTAGTATGTAGTCATCTTACTTATTCTTTCTGAGTGCAGATGCGGTATTAGAACTTTTTTGATCCCCAGGAATTTATCTGATTTTTCACAAGTCATTAAAAAATAATATAATCTGGTCAGAGATCTGCTTAGGCAACTCTTTAGGGACTCCTGGATGCTCATTTTCTGGGCCTCCAAAGTTAAACTGTTATGACTAACACATGTTTTTCAGTTTGAATGAACTAGAAAGTATTTCATCATTGTAAGTGTAAGTAGTGATAGGACAAGGGGTAATGTCGTTAAAGTGAAAGAAGGTAGATTTAGATCAGGTATTAGGAGGCAATTCTTCCCTGTGAGGGTGGTGAGGCACTGGCACAGGGTGCGCAGAGAAGCTGTGGCTGCCCCATCTCCGGCAGTGTTCAAGGCCAAGTTGTATGGGGCTTTGAGCAACCTGGCCTAGTGGAAGGTGTCCCTGCCTGTTGCAGTGGGCCTGGAACCAGATAATTTTAATGTCCCTTCCAACCAAAACCTTTCTGTTATTATTGTAGCATCATTCTTCTTTTTGCAAGGGGCATGTCTCAGTCTCCCAGTATGCACCGCTTCCATTGCTAGTTTGTAAATAATTGTTATTTATTGTCTTTCATTTCTCTCCTCAGTTTTCTTCATGTCCAGACTTCTTCTGTGTGTTCCTTGCTGTCTTACCAATTTTTAATTTTTGCATCTTTAAAAAGTTATATATTTTTTTGCTTCCAAAATAGGGTGAATTCTGAGCCAAAAATTTCTTTTTCTCAGTTTTGGTACATTTAATTTTTGGCTATCTCAAAGGTTTTCATTAAAAACTCTCCACTCATATTTAGCTGTTGTAGTTTTTAGTTTTGGTTTGTTGGTTTTTTTATTTCTTAATTATCCTTATTTTTTTTCCAGTTTCAGTCTTTTAGGAATAAAGTATGTGCATTTATGTATGTATGTATACATATGCATGCAGGCATACTTGTGCATGTGTGTTTAAGGATTGCTGTCTACTTGTCCATGGTGAGTTTGATTCGGCAGGGATCACCATCGCTTAGGCAACTGGCAACTTTTACTTCAGTGATTAAGCTTTGTTTATCAATCATAATCCATCAATCTATGCTAGATGTTTCTGGCAGTAGTTTAATAATATCTTTATGTAAACGGTCTTTCTTTCGAGGAGTTAAACAGGACTGCTCTAAAACTTTTGAATTACTCTTTTGGCAAAAATAGTGCATTGAGAGTAGAACATCCCTCACATCACAAAGCTAGAACATTCCTTTATGCAGTGTGTTCTCTTTGTGAAATGAGTGGCTTGCGTGAAAGCTGACTTTGTATAAAATCTGTATGCAGGTTTGTTTGAATCTGCAAAATGTCCCTTTCTGATTATGCTGCTGTTGATTCCTAACCAGTCATTGTAAAAGAAAGTTCTTGCTTTACGTGAAGCACAACACTATTAATAGTAGCATGCTTGGAAATTGAAAGGAAACAGAAGTTACTGAACTTTTGTAAGAGTGTGAAATACAGGTCTTTTTAAGTCTGTTTTACCCAGGGGATCAGCAATTCCCAGATGGTGATGTGTTTAGCTCCCTCATCTGGTGCACACTGGGTGTAAACGTTTCAGACCAAAAGACTTCCCTTCCTTGCACTGTATTTCTGCCCATCCATACATTGCAAACTTTCATTATGTTTTCTTTTCCTAGGCAATATGGAGAGTGATTCTAGGACTGACTGAGATCCCTAAAAGAATATACTATAAAAATGGAATTGTCATATTTAGTCAGCTTTCTAATTATTTGTGGAATGTTCTTGTTTAGGCCAGTGGGATGTTTGGTCCGTTCTTAAAAATTACCTGGTTGCATTATGTGTCATGACTTTCCTAAACAGAAGTTGCATTCATCTGTAACTTGGCTTATATCTGTTCTTTTACAGCTTTTTCACTTCCAGATCTTACAGAACAGTTTGCACCTCCTGATGTTGCTCCACCGATTCTTATCAAGATAGTGGAGACCATTGAAAAGAAAGGTATGCTGAAGAGCAATTTACCAAGATTTTTTTTTTTTACTTATTTGAGCCGAGACTGCAGAACTAGATCCAGAGCTGGCATTTCCCCTTTCTAGAGCTGCTAACGCAGCTTGACAGACATGGAATAATCTCATTTAAGGTTTCTGCTCAGTGGAGGCTACTTGGACTATCTTCCTTGTTTTCACTGAAGTAGTGAAGTTGTAACAGTATCTTTCACATGAAAACACTGTACTGGTGTATTCTATTCAGGTGGATTATCAGACATACTTCTCTCATACACAGTGGTGTGACACTCGCCTTATGTACACAGTGACGTTATGGTTCTGTGGATAATCAAAAATGACTTGTTACCTGTCCTGTAGAAGGGGCTGTGTGTGTCTGTTGACTCATAGGGTGCCAGAAGTCATGCTTGTAACGTAGAAGCCTCATTTAAATCTTTGAACCTGTTAGGATGTGTCAGAACTTTTGTCATGTCCTTGTCCCATTCCTGTGGGGTGGCCTAACTCAAATTATTCACTTCTTACCCAACTAAAAGACCTGGTGTTTCCAGCGGGCATGCAGAATGTCAAGGAAGATCTGGCTCCCATGTTTCCCCTGCAAGCTGTTTTTTTCCCTTAGTCTTGGCTTTCTGCAGTCAGCCTGTGGAGAGTTGTACAGAATATGTGGGACTGCTGGCAACTCTGATTTTCCTTGTCCAGCTCTTCCTGCAGACAGCAATTTGCATGTACAAAGAGGTGTCTTACAGCCTTAAAAAGCAATCACATTCCATGTGTGGTAGGTGGATGCTAGTGGGAGAATGTTGCTATTTATGCTGTAGGCACTTATTGAAGAAAACAGAAATATGTTGTATCATGGCAACAGTCACTGGAATATTAATGTATCCCATCAATTTTGTTTTGAAGGTCTGGAGTGCTCAACTTTGTATGGAACACAAGGTTCAAGCAGCTCAGCAGAATTAAGACAAATTCTTGAATGTGGTAAGTATAGTTCTCTTCCTTAAAGCACTAGTTAGAATTTGTGGTCAGACTGTTTCTCTCTTCTTTGCTCCCCTACTCTGCTTACATACATGTGCTGGCTGGGAATAATATAATATTAAAAAGGTAAGTAAAAAATATTTGTAACTTTTACACTTAGTATGAAACATCTTTCAGTTTTACAGGGTTTCTTTTTTTCATGGTTTCACTGCATTTTTTTTCTAAGAATAATTACTTTAATCATTTCTTGGTCACTTGCTTGTTCAAGGACTGACAATCTAGCTATACAGAGAAAAACAAGATGTTTTATCAGAAGCAAGATAAAGATACAGTATTCCTGTAAGGCTGCAGGTTATTATTTTGAAAACAAATGTCCATTTGTTTGCATACAGTTCTCTGTGTGCATTTTTTTGGTCCAGCAGGTGGGGAGGCAGTAGATGCACATTCCATGCCTGCTACAGAGATAATACTGGAAGGCAAAGAGAATTTAATTGATGTAGCTGCAGTAGGCTGGATTCTCAGGTTTGGGGCAGTAAAATGCAGCTACACCGCTAACACCCTACACCCATTCAAGTTTCCCAAAATATATTTCCTTCTCTTTTTTGGACTCTTTATTTCTACTTCAGGCCAGAATATACTGGCATGGCAACGTTGTCACAGTATAACAGATTGGGAGTTGATGTAGAAGTGCTTGATCACACCTTTGCAAGCTGGGTCGCAGTGTCAGGTGTGAGCTTCCACTTACAGAAGAAAGCACAAAAATACAAAATGAAACTGGTTATGTGCCATGTTGCTAAAGGGACACAAAGAAGGCAGATTCAAACTGTGAATTAGCTCTCTTTATTTTTAGTAATTGCAATTATTAACAAAATGAAAAACGGCTGATAATAGGAGTTGTCTGTTCCTTCAAATCAAAAGAACATCCTCTCCTGATGGTGGTGGGAGTGAAGTAAGTATATGAGTGCAAGCAGGGAGAGGAGATGTGCATGCGATGCTAGCAACCTAAGCTGTATTTTTAGTATTGCAATTTCTCAGTCCAATTAAATCCAGATTTTCTATGGCACCAGTATGGATGTATCTCTTAATTTATCTGAATCCCTTTTTAAATCTCTAAACTGAGGTGTACCTTTATGGAAGGTTCATCTCCTGAGATCAAGAACATGTTTACATGTGTTTTTATTTAGAATGTAATTACATTTGGCAAAATGAAACAGGACTTTACTCTTTAATAACAGTGTATCTTTATGGGTTCCCTTTAAGATATCATCGGAATCTTCCAGGACAGAGCTGGTGCAGTGTGTGGGTGTCCAAATGTATGGATAAAGACAGATCTCATCTCCTCTGCCTATTGTCTTTAATTAGCAGAGCACTAATTCAGAGTGCAAAGTTAGCTTGGGTCTCAAAGTTGTGAACTGCATTAGGGTGCTATTCTGCTTGTGGATAAAATGTTCCCCATATTAACTGGATAACTGCCCATTAGCTTCAATACAGTATTATCTAGGCAGTGGCAATCCCAGGCAAAGCTACAGGTTGGGCAGAGAAGCGATTGAGAGCAGCCCTGGAGAGAAGGACTTGGGGGTGTTGGTCTTAACATGAGAAACTTAACATGAGCCAGCTTCAGTGTGCACTTGCAACCCAGAAAGCCAACTGTATCCTGGGCTGCATCAAAAGGAGTGTGACCAGCAGGTTGAGAGAGGTGGTCCTGTCCATCTCCTCTGCTCTTGTGAGACCCCACTTGGAGTATTGTGTGCAGTTCTGGTGTCCCGAATATAAGAAGGACATGGAACTGTTGGAACAAGTCCAGAGGAGGGCCATGAGGATGATCAGGGGACTGGAGCACCTGCCGTATGAAGACAGGCTGAGAAAGCTGGGACTGTTCAGCTTGGAGGAGAGAAGGCTGTGTGGAGACCTCATAGCAGCCTTCCAGTATCTGAAGGGGGCTTACAAGGATGCTGGAGAAGACTCCTCATTAGGGACTATAGGACAAGGGTTAATGGGTTTAAACTGAAACAGGGGAAGTTCAGGTCAGATACAAGAAAGAAGTTCTTTACTGTGAGGGTGGTGAGGTGATGGAACCGGTTGCCCAAAGAATTGGTAAATGCTCCATCCCTGGCAGTGTTCAAGGCCAGATTGGACAGAGCCTTGGGTGTCATGCTACAGGGTGAGATTGGAGTTAGATGCTCTAAAAATCCTTTCCAACCCAAACTATTCTATGATTCTATGATTTTGATGCATAATTGCTGTTGTACAATTCATGCCCACACTGCAATTTTTTATCATGTGAGCTATAACTGTTTTTTTTTTATCGTGCAAATTCCTTGGTGTCTGATAAAATTGAGCTCCTACTGCAAGCTTTCCTTTGGGGAAACCCGAAATGAGGTAGAGTAGCACTGAGTTTTTCACTACCCCCTCTTGGCTACCTGTTTTTCACAGTGTAAGTAGACAAACCGCATATCTGATTCCTGTACCTCTCTGTCAAATCTGGATCAAACTGGCCAAATAGATTCAGCAGTTACTTTACAAGGGACTTGGCTAGCCTAAAAAAGTTGGTCAGCATTAATACCTCTAAATTCTTGTACCAAATGTATCTTTCTGTAAACATTTAGGAGTTTACTGCACAAGAGTTTGTTTTAAGGTGAACCCTAATCTTGCTTGCCCTAAGTAAGCATTCGTGTCTTTTCCTATTTTTATTTGTGCTGCTGATATTCCTTGCTCCAGCACTAACAAGTAGTTCTTTATGCGACACTCCCAAGTATTAGCCCAAGTCATAACCATCCTGGAAGGGTATCAGGTTTTACAAGATAAATATTAACGGTTGCATAACACACCAAGCACCAAGTTCTGCACGTGTATATTTGTTTTGACTTGCTCACATGAATATTTACAGACTTGGAGCCCCAAGTTGTTAATCAAACTTCCAGTTGTAATAGAGGTAGCTGTCAGTAGAGAAGCTGCATTTGCCCAAACCCTTGATTAATACTTACTTCACACACAGAGTATTTACAGGTAAAACAGAGAGCTGTTAAAAATATTCTGATGTTCCATAGCATTGCCAACATGCAGCAAAGTCACTGACTACGGTTATTCTGAGTTCAGCTCTGTGCCGTATGTGACAGAAGGCCACACATAGCTGTCGAAACCATTTGGTTCATCAGATGTCAAAGGGCTGGCCATGCTGTTGAGCACTGTGTTCTTCATCTCAGAAATGTTTCTTGGTGTCTTGCACTCTTTCTTGTAATTTGTTCCCCATAAACCAGATAGAAGTTAGCAGCTTTGGATTGGTATAATATCATGAGTTTGTGTATTTTTTACAGTTCCTAATGTTTAAAAAGTATGTTGCTCTTTCCCTCTAGATGCTTCTTCACTGGATTTAGAGACATTTGATGTGCACACTTTATCAGATGCTCTCAAGAGGTATCTTCTGGACCTGCCAAATCCCATCATTCCAGCAGCTGTTTACAGTGACATGATTTCTGTAGCTCAAGGTATGATTATCACATCATTTCAAATGTCAGGCAAAAAAGCTGTTATTAGGATTCTGAATAGCCAGTGGTCTAGCTGTCACCCACAGAACAAGGAAGATTCTGCACAACCTGGCAGCATTTCAGAAAACATATATACCTTCACCATTTTTAATAAAAGTTGTTTCAATTCAGATGTAGACATGCATTATTTAGTTACCTAAGTAAACATAATGGAAAATATATGGGATAACACAGTTCATTTTAGTAAGTAGAATGACTATAGAAAAACTGGGGTGAAAAATCAAGGACTTATCTGTATGCAGAAAGCTAATTTTTAACTTTTTATCAGTGCTGACAAAGTAAATGTATTAGAGGTCATGACATTCTGCAGTATGTTGGAAGTTGCAGCTTATGAAGTAAGAAATACATACATGTAAGATTCATCATCTGCAGTGGTCATTTCAAGCAAGTACAGGTTACAGGCTTTCAGCTTGTGGACCAAATAGTCTGTTATGTATCTCAGGACAGGATATTGTTACTGGTAACCTTCAAAGTCACAACAGCACCTGTGAGACTTATCTAGTGCATCTCAGAATTACCCAATCATGTGTGACACTAAACATAAGGCAGACTTCTACCAGTACACTGTGAACACATTGTGGTTTTTACCAAAATGCGTATCTGTTTCCATTTGACTTTTAAATGCTTGTTCTTTTCTCTTGCCTGAGCCATTTCACTTTTTTCAAAAGGAGAAAGAAGTCTTACTGCACTAATGAAGGACAGAATTTTTTTTTTTTTCCTCTAAAATTGATGCTTCTAAAGAAGTCATATGTAGTTTCATTTTACTTGTTGAATGTTCCTGTGCTGATATTAAGAGCCTTTTATCTGTTTGCTTGCAGAAGTGCAGAGCTCAGAAGAGTATGCTCAGTTGCTGAAGAAACTCATCAGATCTCCAAATTTACCTCCCCAGTATTGGCTCACACTCCAGTATTTGCTCAAACATTTCCTCAGAGTTTGTCAAGCCTCCAGCAAAAATCTTTTGAATGCAAGGTCTCTGGCTGAAATTTTCAGCCCTCTGCTTTTCAAATTTCAGATAGCAAGGTACGTGGGTCATCTGTATTCTATTTTGTACTGTACATATGGGTTAGTTTTACATAAGGGTAAGTTCAATGAATTAATTTCCTGACCTTCTAATGTGGAGGGCACTTCTGTAAATTTTTCCAATTTCCTTTTTTCTTACAATTTTAACAAACATTGGCAATTTTTTGTAGTTCTTACTGCTTAAACCATCTTTTTCAGCTCTGATAATACTGAATATCACATAAAAATCCTAGAGGTTTTAATCACAAGTGAATGGAATGAGAGACAGCCTGTACCAGGTAAAAACTATTTTTAATTTAAAAAGTTATATACCATTGTTTTCTTAAATATAAAATTCAACCTAAGGACAGTAAATGCTCATCATTTTTTCTTTTTTAATAAAAATCTCCAGGTTTCAATCAGATATTTGATAGGAGGAAGGCAGAGTTGCTGACTCTTTACAAAGGAAATTGTTAACTCAACACTTCATAGGTTAGTTTAAAGTAAGTCCTTTTACAGCTTATTAACAGAGAATATCCAAAAAAAAAGTATAGGGTGATGGGGAACAGAAAATTGGGCAGGCTGTGGCTTTCCCACCTCTCTATTCAAAGTACAAGGTAAAGTTCATGGCAGTAGGATTTGTAGAGATGCTTAAGATTTGAAGAGCTAGAGCACAGCAGCAGTAAAATGCCTTATTTCTCCTGTTTATAGGTGGGTGCATTGTATAATCGCCTTCCTCAGCTACTGAAGACAAGTTTAAAATGGCTAACATTTTTGTTCCTACTGCTGTGAAATGGAAGGCTTTTTCAGCCTTGCCAGCTGTAGTATTTAGGAACCTTTCCCTAGTGTTTTGTATCCATCTGTTTTAAGCTACTTTATACCTATTTGGTTTATTCAATTTTTGTCAAAATAGTTAAGCAGGCATTTCCAGAACCACTGTGTATTTTTCTTCTTCATGTTTCATAGCAGCCAGGAGAGGCCAAACTTGTATGGACACTAATTGTCCTTTTTTACCAAGAATCAGCAAATAACTGCTAATTGTTAAAGAATTCTTGTCTTTGTCACCTGCTACAAGCCTGAAAAGGCAAAATACATTGTTGAATCCTCTACTCTTCTAAGGAGCTTGCAGGTAGCATTTTTTAAATTACATGTTTGCAACTGCCTTAGAGTGTATACATTTATATGGCTAGAGGCAATGGTTGGGAGATTACAAAGGTAAAGTCAGCAGTGAGAGTTTCTTGAGTTTCAAAGTGATGAGTTTCTTAAGTTGACCTTAAGAGATCACTTGGTTGCATATCTTCCTGAGTTGCTTCATGTGAGGGAAGTATAAAAGTGAAAGACGTTGGTGTTAGAACTGCTAAAAAGGGCTCTTGAGAGTATCATTAGGGCACTTGAAGAATGTGGCTCTATCCATCAGATTTATGGGGTTTGACTCTTACTAGAACATTTGTACATCTACTAAGCTGAAAAAAACCCTCAGATAGAAATTTTCAAGCTTTGTAGTTCTATGGTTAGCTATCCACTGCTCTTTAAAACACTTGAATGATTTTCAAAAGTTGAGTCCTGTTAGAATGTTACATAAGTTCGCAGGATTAGAACATAAGTCTGATTTTCACACCAAAATTACTCAATGACCAATCATTTGAAGTGCTCTTGTTTTTATAGTCCTCATAGAAGACTGTATCTTTCAAAATTACCATCCTCAAGATTATTGTTTGTAGGGGCTTGAGTTTCCATAAAAATTGTTTAGAGACACTGTAATAAAAGGAAGATTCCTGGAAGAGATAACTTACTTGTCATATAAGTGTTCTGAGAATTAAAATCTGTAATAGAATTTTAGAAGTGCAGAAGTTAAGAGGTTTTAAGTAGAAAGAATCTTGTTGAAAATAATGAAATGACAAGTAAGTGGTAACCCAGAAGCCAATCCTGCCTGGTTTCTTCTATTTTTCACAGGCTGGAGTGATAGCTTCTACTTCTGTTATTCTCAAGCCTGGATGAAAACACTCCGTCTAAAACGAGCTGTGCATGAAGTTTTATTGGTATATTACACAGTACATAGATATATTTAGTGTTGGAGATAACTTAATAGAAGGAAATCTTTGCACGGCTGTGGGTTTTTTTCTTATCACATCACCCACTAATTATCTTTCTTGCCTCAAAGCAACAGAAAGTATGCAGTTGGACCTTATGTATGTCTTAAGATTAGTGTCTTAAACTGGGTATCTTTAATTGGACATCTTAGAGCTAGAGTGATGCTTTGCACAGGTAATGCAAAAACGAGTTACTCCTAAGCCACTACTTGATTTTTTTTTTCATTACAGGACAGCTCCAGGCTGATTTTCTTTCTTGCTGTCAGTGTTCAACAGCAAATGATGCATTTAATTTTGTGAATTAGAATAGTTCTTAGCCTTCAACAAAACTTAAAGTACCAAAGCTGAAGTACCTGTTGTGCCTACGTGTGTACTAGGTGAAGACAAAATAATGTTGCAGGAGAAGTAAGACTGGAGAAATGGTTGGTGTTTTGAATAATTGGTAACCAGATCCATTTTCTGATTCCTGTCTCATTGTTCAAGTTTATCATTAGGATAGCTGAAAGATGGTGGGCAAGCTAGGTGATGTAGCATCCCTTTTTAACACCCGAATTTAATGAACAGCCAGCCGCACATGCTTTAATTTAAAGAATAATGCTGTTTTAACACTCAGAGGAAAAGTTCATGTCGCTAAATACGCTATTCAAAATGATACCATTCAAAGAAAATATCTTAATTGTAACAGAGATAATAGCTAACAGTGCTGCTTATGTCTCACAGAATCTCATACATCGTACAGAGGTGTGAAGGCCTGTGTGCTTTAAGAGGTAAATATTGAAAAATAGGCTATATGTGCAGCTATAGAAGACCGGATCATTTTTTCAGTTCATTTTCATGGATCATAAAGGCTCCTGGCTTTTCTGTCTGGAGGAGGCCTGCCTTGGATGCCAGTCTGAGTTGTCCATGGGGCCTGATGGCTGCTCCGTGCAGTGCAGTCAATTTGGAGCTGGTGTCTGGGAAGGCAGGTCTTACGTAGGAAGGTGGGGTGATGGGAGAGCTCAGAAGTGATTTTCAGGGGGAACTCGGGCAGATGAGGGTCTTTGAGGGAGTGTTAACATGTGTGGAGTGGCTTTGGGTGTGTGAGATTAATGTGTTTCATATCACAAGAAAGGCAAAGAGGAAAGGGGACATGGTGGGAGAGCAAAGGAACATGGCTCTGTGGGCAGAAAGGCTGGTGAGGAGCGGAGGGAGAACTACCACAGCTCCCAGAAGGAGCTGCCATGGCTGTATCTATGAGTTGAAGCCTCTAATAGCCTATGCACTAACTCAAGCTGAGCTGCTCCATGTAGGCTGCCTATCCTAGTTTATTCCTGTTTCCCAGGCTTGTAAATAATACTGTAAATAATAGCTCAAGCTGTGAAATATTGCAGTTTTAAGCATGAAGATGTAGGGTTTACTCTCACAGGGTCATAGCTAAAAGTAAGGTAGTGAGACTGCCTTACATGTAACTGCTCAAATACTGGGGATGTGTTGAGAGTCCAGGCAGTAGACACTTCGCTTTTAGGTGCACAAAATATTACCAAGCGTACTAGCATGACAGCCAGCACCAGGCAGTGTGAAGGCCAGCCTTGTTCCTTCTTCTTGGAATCCAACACAGAGCTCTGCCTGACTGCTGTGGTGGTCAGGCTCAGCCCACAGTCCAGTTGGTTTTGTCTTAGGGACAGAAAAAATATTGTACGAACGCTCTCCCTTGTCAAGACTTTGCTGCATCACATCATGGGCTGTGCTGGACTGTAAGCAGTGCTGAGCGTGGTTTGGGGCTTGCAGGAGACAGTCTCGGGGAGAGCTTGTGCTGCAGAGGAGGGATGTTGCTCTTCCGCCCATCACCCGGCAGAGGGCTCCCCTTCTAAGCTAATAAACTCAGGCTTTGTACCCGCTTCAGAGGACAGCAAAATGCTTTATTAATCACAGTGCTTAGGAATGCCGCTGTAGTCTTGGTTTTGATAGTAGTCTATGCTTTATGTTTCTCAATACCTAGTTGAATATATTTGGTAAAACTGAACCAACATGTACAACGTTTCTAGAATTTTGTACTGATTGATGTATGTGTTTTTGTATGTAAGTATATGTAACACACAGCAAGCCTATCAAACCTTCATACATCATTTTTTTGGGGATGGGGGAAAGAAGCTTTATAGATAGAAGAACGCCAAATACGACTGAAAAAAACATAATAGGTTGATGAATTTCTGCAAATACAAATCAATAGATTCAGTTGACACCACTCAAGGTCAACTTACAACTAATAAGTATTAAGATAGAGCCATTGTGTGACAGTGCAACTGTGTGCATGCCGGTATGTTTTTTTGGTAAGACACTTAATTCCTTTCTGTAGAATGATTAGGAACTAATTTTTGCACAAGGCAGTGGAATACAAAAAGAATAAAATAAAATTTATTTGGGAAAAAGCTGTATCTTTTATCTCTGTGTTGATACCTGTGCTTTTTAAAATTATAAACAATTCAGTGAACCAGGTTTGGGTTGTCTTCTCTTCTTTGAAAGTATGCTTGTTGTGTATTGTCTCCCTATAAACCAAGAAGTGTTATCAACCCCTTCTGTGATTTTAACAGTAAACAGGAGGCATAGCGGTTACTGTCAGAAGTTAGATTAGTGCAGAAACACAGGTTACTATTCCCATTTGAAGTAGGCTGTACATTTATGATTGTGCTGCATTAAATTATATACAGAACTGACAATTGTTCAAGCAGGCAATGGCTAAAATGAGAAAAGTAGGGGGTTGTTATGGGTGAAGCTAGTCAATCAACTGTAAAACATCAAAAATGTACTGCTGATATTTGGAGTTTCGTTATTAGGTATAAGTGGTATTTTGTAGCATAGGAGGATTTTGGTAGGTGAAGTATTCAGGAGGTGAACACTTTACAATAGCATTTGACTGCCTTAAGGAGCATAAGCAAATCTCAAGGGATGCAGCTACTAGAAGTTCTCACAGTTTCCAACAGGAGGGAGGAAAATATTAATGCTCTTCTTTTCTTTCTCTAAACTAAATCTTGTGGTCTGCTTCTCTTTTCACTTTGAATTTATTTCCTTGTAAAAGTATGGCTGGCAGAGATGTTAACCTCTGTAGGCAAAGGGGAGTGGGCTCTTCAGTTGCTGCTCTGTTCTTTAGCCAGTCTGATTTCCACCAAACACTGGGGCAAGGAAAAAAAATTTACCAAACTGCTCCCTCTCTATGCAGTCCCTTTTCATGCCTGCCTGCCCAAGAAATGAAAACCCTGATGTACTGCAAAACACCAAGGATACGGACAGGTGTTTTTTCTATTATTTTCAGTTTATAGGGAATGGATAAAATGCCTCACAGCATCACAGCAGGGGTCTTCAAATAGCACCTGTATTTGTGATCCAGCATGAGTGTGAAAGAAGTGATGCTGTGCTTGCAAGCAGGCTATTCTGCTTGCACGGGGCTGTTCTGAGAGATGCAGCTCTTTTCAAGAAAAAATTTTATTTTGCTTTTTTTCCAGCAGTGTTAGTAAGCCACTTCCTGCATTTGGCTGTTCATGGCAATTTTATCAACTTTAAGACTGCACTCAGCAGCCAGTGACAGAGACTATTTTAAGACCTCTTACAATGGTCTTCTCATTTACTTAGCTAAAATGAGAAAGTTAGCTATGCATTGGCCACTTGTTAGCTGATGACAACTTTTACTTTGAATCTGCCCCCCCCCCTCCCCCACCTGAAATCCTGGCTCAGCAAATATTTGAACCTGCCCAAGTTAATCATGAAACTGAGATCTTTATCAGCGAGAGACGTGAGAGCTACTGAGGGTGGTGGTTTCTTTTTTTTTTTTTTCTTTCCACGGTACTAAAGTCAGGTTCACTTTTTAATGATGAACCAGAGTAAGTGGATACCTCCTGCACAGCACAGAGCTCTGAGCAGTTGAGCGAGAAGGCTTGGATTTTCTCACTGCATGTTACAGCTCTTTTAGAGATTTTTATGGAACATTGGCAGAGCAGCCTTTTTCCAGATTTTTTTTTTCCTTCATTGCTTCAGAGAAGCTTCCTAGTAAAAGGAGGTTTTGAGGGTATTTTTTAAGGAAGATTTTTGTAAGAGGAAACCAAATAATTTTTCAGGTTATTGGATTGTATTTTCAGGCTGTATTACAAGGGCGAGCGTTTGTGATGCATAATTTACAAAGTAAGTGATTTTGAATTTGTGTGTTTTCTTCGTCACCTCGTGGAAGTACTGTACTATAAGTGATTACTAGGTAGAGCTGTCATGGTCTCAAGATATGTCGATGAAAGTGAGGTATCTCAGTACCTCTCCAGGTTATCTAGAGCATGGGGAATAGCCTATCTGCCTCCTGTCTTTTCTTGCCTGAAGCTAGGTTAGTCTGAGCTGAGCACTAATGTGATTATACAAGTGTGGGCAGTTCAAAATTTGGCCACCAGTGAAACCCTGGAGAAGTAACTGTTCCTGAAAGCCTTTATTCAAAGGAATAAAATATCCTGCTGATCCCACATGAGATCTAAATGCAGCAGTGTAGTCTTTGTAGGAAATCTTTATAACTTGATTTAAATAATTACCTTGGTAACTCAACTGTTTGGGTAGCAGGTGGGCTAACCCTCCAAGTTCAGTGTTTGGGCTTGTGTCTGGGGTGATTTTAAGTATCCTATTTCATTTTGGAAATGGAAGGAATCTTTAGAGCATGTCTACCTAAAAGGGGAGGGGAGTCTACTTCAGAATGAATTTAAGGTTGTTAATTTATAAAGCAAGCTATCATGCATTTTTTTGTAGCTGTTGGTACTCCAGACATGTTCTTGTATGTTGATGCTTGTCTAGAAGGGGTAAACTGCTGAGCGGCATAGAGGGGTGTGGATATGTGTGAAATATTTGGGAAGGATATGAATTGTGTTAATTTTTTTTAATGACTATTTGTGAGATAGAGCATATTTCATCTGCACCAGGCTTTCTTATGATGTAGGCACAGATAGTTGCTACAGCTACTCTTTGTTGTGGTTATTTTTGGTATCTGGTTTTCTGCCCCCATAGATTATAGTGAGTATGAAGCATTCACATTGTTTTACATAGCATGCTGCTGGGGAATTAATAGTCTATTCTGTGCATGTTTCTTCCTAGAGGTCTGAGAGTTATAGTCTGTGATGGGGGGAGTTAAGAAGGAATATTTCTAAACAGTAGGAGGACACTGGTGACATAAAGTCAAGTGAGGAATGAGGCACTGACAAGGGACTCTTGCCTTTAAAAACAATTAACTTGATAAATAGTGAGAACAGTGTAGAGAAACAGTGTGAAAAGGCAGACTAAATCTTGTGTCCTGACAGACTGGCTTTTTATGTTCAGCAAAATCACTTCTCAAGATCTTGCATAGTTTTGACTTTCTTCCATGATTTATGCAAGTCTACTGAATGTAAGATTACAATATTTGGGGTTTCAATTAAAAATTAGTTTAGATCAATTGGAATTGTATTTTATTACAAAATGATGGGGGGGGAAGATATCTCTGCACGTAGCACATTTTATATAATAATATCAAGTACGTCAGACCTGAATGTCCATTAAAATAATAGAAATCTGCACAATTTAAAAACATAATCCATGTTTCATTATGTGGCAATACATATGCCTCTGTATGTATGTGTAAACTGAATGTGTAATACACATACACACAGAGTCATGCTCTTTTCCCTTCTGTATCTTTAATATGTGCAAAAAGTCCAGAAGCCTTTTAAAGCTTTTTGAATGGTAAACTTCAGGCATCCAAGCAGGAGAGTGCAGCTGAGATGTGACCGACCTACTTCTAAAGGGAGCTGTGTGTGAGTGTGCATGTGTTGTGTGCGCCTGTGTGTAAGAGCTACGTGCTGCAGCATATCAGCCTTTTGTCATCCTGCCAGGATTGGACTGTACCATGCTGTAAAGTTAGGAAAATGAGATGGGAACAGGGGCGAGGAGAGCCCAGTTGTTCCTTTTCTTTTCAATACCAGGTTTATATTGCAGTTCTGCTAAATGTACATTCTTTCTGAAACTGAAATTGTCTTAAGATTAATGTAGAACAAAATGAGGAAACAGGAGTGGTCTGGTGACATTATTTTGACATGATTGGCTGAAGATTATGATGTAATAGGTTACAGTGCAGCCCCTTATAGGTTTTAAAATGAATTCCAAGACACCATTACAAAGAAAGCCTGACTCTTTTCTTGAATCTGAGCTCACTCAGTGAAACTTATACAAATGTACAATACTGTCTGGAATATGGAAGAACTGGATATAGAATATCCTAAGACAGATATAAATTGTGGCACAGACTTGATGTTTTACATAGAAATGGATCCACCAGGTAAAACTGCCTTATTATGGAAGACTTAATTCATTTTGGTCTTTACAGTAGCTGCTGAAAAATTTTTAGTGGATATGTAGGATTTCTTTACTTTGTTATTAATACAAATAGTTTTTTCTTTTTTTTTTCTTTTTTTCATAAATTATAATTAAATTTTGGTTTAGTGCATGTACTTAGAATCTTAACCTGTAGAAATACCTGTCTGCTTACGTAATTTTTACTGAATTTACCTGTTTCTCTTTTGATTTTATTCTGTCAGATGTAGTTCTAGTTGTGCTGTTGTATCCAAAAAATTTTGTATTTCTGTTATTATTTTTGCTATCTCTGTTCTTTTAATCACACCGTAATTAAAAGGAGATGCTGTGGTAACAGTGTTATTTCCTGAAGCAGTGATGCAAATCATTGTTTTGTTTGAGGGGAAAAAAAAAAACAACTTTAAAATCTAGCAATATTAATTAAAGACCTGATTTTAGATTTTTTTTTTTATATCATATAAAATACTATGCTATATTGATGTACACTGTAATTTTAAAAGTATAATTTTTTGGTAGCTGGTCATAGTGTACAGGACAGGGATGTCTGTAAGGAATGATGTACTTACTGGAAAACTAAAAGAGCTGGGTTGATTTTTAATCCTGATTCCAATGTAGTTCCCCTTGCTACTAAGTCAGGAGTGCTGCAGTATCTTCTGTGGCACTCACTGGTATACGTGTGCAGCTTTGACATTGAGAAGAGGGGGATGTGGTTTTTAATCAGTCCTAGCATTTGGAACACAATTTAGTCTGTAGAATACTAAGATTAACATAAGGGATATTTGGGTCACAGATGGGTTTCTTGGAAGTGTTGGTTTTGGCAGATCATCATGCAGAATGCTGAGGATGACAAAACCCCAATTCTTCTTTAAATATGCATTATTGCTGTGGGTTTGCATCTTTTATTATTCAGGTTCTAGGTGAGGAATCAGCAACATTCCTCTAAGGTCATTACAAAAGAGGCAAAAAAGAAGCAGTTTTATGTGCTTTATTATTTATATTCACCTGACCATAGTGAAAGAAGGTAGAAGCAAACTTCAGATTATTTTTTTTTTCTCAAATGCTTTCTTCACAGGGAGAGAATATATGGTGTTATATTTTGCTTAAAATATATTATTGCAAAAGTAGCACACTTCTTTTGAAACACTACATCTTTATTGTGGACTTGTATTGTTTTCAGTAAAATATCTTAATTCCTCTAATGTCTTTTAGGGATTGCTCTAATGTCTTTTAAAGATTATTAGTAGCAGAAAACACTATTTTGTGACTTTTTTTCTTTTTTTTTTCTCTCATTCATGTAACAATGTGTAATTCCAAGTAATATATAGTCAGGTTTTCAGTGAGTTATAATCAACTTTTTCATGTTTTTTTCCTTTCATTTGCAGCACTGCCTCCTAAGCCACCAAAACCTAATAGTGTAACTAACAACAGCATGAATAACAACATGGCATTACAAGATGCTGAATGGTACTGGGGAGATATCTCAAGGTAAATAAGCTCAAGACATGTATTTCATATGTTCTTGCTATGCTATTTTGTGTATATGTATTATGCTTCAGTATCAAAAAATTACAGTTCTAAGAGCCAATTTGAGGATATTTTCCAAAACGAATGTATTACAGTTGATTTTAATCCAAACATGACTAAAAAGTTACTGGCAGTCACATAGAATGTAGTATGTGAAATGATTGTTCTATTACTTTAAGGTACAGTATATGTAATGCTAGCATGACAGGATAGCACAAAGTAAGGATTTTCTTCTTGTCTTTCATTCAGAACCTCAACTGTAGGAACAGCAGTTAACAAGCCAGACTAACAAGTGCCATATATTAGCAACATTTTTAACTGTACTATATATAGGTATGCTAGACCAGCACTGGCTGCTCCAATTGTGCAGGCTTGTATGAACAAGCAGAAAGACCTTTGCGTGAATATAATTTCATCCAACAGTGAGAGGACATAGAATATACCATTTTTATATCGCAGTTGTTCTCCTGCAATGTTAACTAAGCTATTGAGTAACTAATTTATTAATATGGAGATCAAGAAGATTTCTAAAACCCACAAGTTCAAAACCAGAAGATTTTAAAGCTCAGTGAGAGGATAAATGAGTGAGAAGTAGCTGAAATGATTGGTTACTTTTGCTTTCATTTTAGAGAAGAAGTAAATGAGAAGCTCCGAGACACTGCTGATGGTACCTTTTTGGTACGAGATGCTTCAACCAAAATGCATGGGGACTACACACTTACGCTAAGGTAAGATTAATTACAGTAGGTCTGTAATACTTGACAGTAAATGCAATACTGCATTTAAAATACAGTGTTCTTTAGGAAGTAGTACTTGAATTATGCCTAACTTTCCAACAAACTTTATTTGCAGGAAAGGAGGAAATAACAAATTAATCAAAATCTTTCATCGAGATGGAAAATACGGCTTTTCTGACCCATTAACTTTCAACTCTGTGGTTGAGCTAATAAACCACTACCGGAATGAATCTCTAGCCCAGTACAATCCTAAACTGGATGTAAAATTATTGTATCCAGTATCTAAGTACCAGCAGGTAATTTCATCTGTTTTCTTTGTGTTTCACTTAAATGCATAGAAATTACTGCACACTGGGGAGTCATTTACTATGAAGAACTTCAGCTCTGTTAGAACTTGAAAAAAATGAAGTGGGTATAAAAATGGATATTTTTGTTTAAAACCAGCTCCACAGTTTACATATAAATAATTAAAACTTTAAATACTGCAGATACATTATTAAGAAATAAACTTATGTTAATAAATATTCCACTCCTTATGATGAAACATACAATTTTCAGTATAAAGCTGAACACTTGCAATGCAAAGTTGCTTTTTGTCATTTATTTCTCATTTGCATATTATGCATGTAATATGTTATATCTCCATGCTTATGAAAGAGGAGTCACATTTCCATGTAACTATCTAGGCATTTTTTAGCAGTTCTATCCTGAAAATGTATGCAATATAATTGTTTCTTTATGGAATATCTTTGCATCTGCTCGCCATTCCAGGATCAAGTTGTAAAAGAGGATAGCATTGAAGCAGTGGGAAAGAAATTACATGAATATAATACCCAATTCCAAGAAAAAAGCCGAGAATATGACAGACTTTATGAAGACTACACAAGAACATCACAGGTGAGCTGGATTTGAAACCAAAGGGAGAGTGGAAGACTTCTGTAGATTTAGAATGTTATTGTAAATTCATGCTGCTATCTTCCTCCATCCTCATCCTCTTCCCTTCTGGCACCACTACCATTGCCTAAAAGAGGAAACATACCTGATGTGCTTGCTCAATAAGTAGAATTGCTTATTGGTGTCTGAAAAGTCACCACCTGTAACGTAACCCATGCTGTGCCTAACTCCGACACATGCATCCAAAACAGGCATAGAACTGTCCTAATATACGAGCACTACTGACCTCATCAAGTTCTGAGTTACAGTTTTCAATGCACATTTACAGGGAAGCATTGCATTTTATTACTGGTTTTTGAAGGGTATGGTTTCACCTGTACAGAGTAGAGATGGTGTGCAGATACAGTGAAGGAAAGAAAAGCTGCCTCTGTCCTTCTTTCAGTTCAAATCAATTATTAGCCAAGTCTTGAAGTTCCAGTGAATTAATGCAGTTTTACAGACCCAGAATCAAGACTGCTTCTTAAAATGTGCAGGAAATATGCCTAAAAAATATTTGAAGAAAGGTGAAGAAGTGCAGGCAACTTGAAAATTTTAAAATTGTTTAAAAGACTTGACTAGCTATGTAGAGGCAGGAGGATGGACTAGATGACATCTTGAGACCTGTCCAGGCAAGTACCTTACTCTTTTATTTCAGAAACCCAGATGTGCCTCTAAAGACATTAGTTGGTGCAGAGGGCAAAGTGCCTTGCCATAAGGCTCTAATCCTCTCAAATTAAATATAGTTATATGGAAAAAATATTGTAGGTAGCTCTTTGTCTAGCAGTTTTTCTTTCTTCAAAAACCCCATCATGGTTGCCTTTTGCACAGGTCTGTTCTTCCTGTGTTGCAAGGCTCTGCAGGCAGAATGCATTCTGGTAAAGGGATATTGAAGTCTTCTTTTACAATATACTGAAGTGTTTCTGTGATGCAACCAATAAATCATCTCCTCTATCTGATAACAACTTTAATAAAAAATATTTTATTTTCAGGAAATTCAAATGAAAAGAACAGCTATTGAAGCATTTAATGAAACAATAAAAATATTTGAAGAGCAGTGCCAGACACAAGAAAGATACAGTAAGGAATACATTGAAAAATTTAAACGGGAAGGAAATGAAAAAGAAATACAAAGGTCAGTATTTGTATTTGCATTTCAACTTGTATGATTTTGAAGAAAGAAACAGTGCCAAGTATAGATCTGCAAGATGGCAAGTTTGAAGTTGTTCATCAGGTGTTCATTTCACATCTACCCCATTTGAAGCAAAAGAAGCTTCTTTTGCAAAATGTATAGCTACATCTAGAGAAATAACCTGTTTTCTTAAGTGTCTATACCATTGAATAGCAGATTATAAAGTTATGAATAAGATACCAGAGTGTAACCTATCATGTTATTCCATTCAGAATCATGCACAACTATGAAAAACTGAAGTCTCGAATCAGTGAAATCGTGGACAGCAGACGTAGATTAGAAGAGGATTTGAAGAAGCAAGCAGCTGAGTATAGAGAGATAGACAAACGTATGAACAGCATTAAGCCAGACCTCATACAGCTGAGGAAGACAAGAGATCAATACTTGATGTGAGTATCAGTATCAATTAATAGAGGTTTTTTAAGTGTTTTTTTAATCGGTATCCAACTTCTGTGACAAAAAAAATAATTTTATTTGCAATTACTGTCCAGGTGGCTGACTCAGAAGGGTGTTCGTCAAAAGAAGTTGAATGAATGGCTTGGAAATGAAAATACAGAAGAGTGAGTATTAAAAGATTTAAATATTTCTGGTATTCCAAATCGTCTTATGTTAAAGTGAGATTAAGCATATTTAATTCCTAAACCACAAAGCGGAAATCTTAAGCCTAGGTCTCCTGTAACAGTGCATACTGTTAAAACATGGCAGGCCTATATAATGCAAGTATTAGAAAGGATTCTGTCTCGCACTGTACTCTTCATTATTCAGGGAAGTACATAATCAAGTTACTATAGCAAAGCACTGCAATGTAACCTGTGTCTTTATTCTTACCAGAAAAATAAAGGTCATAAGGTGTTAGTATCTTATAGAGATGCCATATGGATGGATTAATTGTTCAAAAGGTCTCTGAGGCATGGGGTCAGCTTGAAGGCTTTTTCCAGCCTTCAAGCATTGGTACCATGGTGCTATCTAGTATAGAGTTACCCACATTAGTGTGTCACACTGCTATTGGATGTGGTAAAACTGTATAAGCTGAAGAGTGGTCCTTCTCTGGTTTTGTGGTCTAATTAATTTTTCTGGGAAATGGCGGGGTGGTATTCTGACATTTCAAGCAATTCAGTTTACTATAGGTTCTGACAGGAGCTTGGCTAATGAGTATGTTTCACTTCATTCCTGAGAAAAAAGCAAAAAGCATCTGGGTGGTGTGAATGTGGACCAAATTTAAACAAAAGCAGTCCACAAAATAGTATCAGAAGTATAGTAACAGTGAAGAATAAACAAGTAGAAAAATCAGAAAAACGAAGTTGACCGAGTAATATTCATATCAACATTTTCTGTCTGTACAGTTTCTTGTGCATGCCTTTCACAATGCCTGGCTGAACACATAGCAAAAGTAGCAGACTGACAATGACTCTTCAGTGGATTACATTCTAGCCTTGTCCACGTCTGTTTTATTTTGTCTTGGTTTATTGAGTCTCCTACTGTTATCCTGGAAATTGTGCTTCTCTGCTCTGGCTGTACTGGTAGAAGCAGGGGATAAAAATGGCATACATGTTTTAAAGCCATATTGTATGCTCAGTCTTACCACAGCTCAAAGATGATGTAATGGAGTATATGTAGGCACCTGTTTCCAGTGGTACTCCCATCACTTTAAACAGTAGACAAAGAACAATGCCAGGCCATGGTTTTAGTGTAACATTAAAACTGTAAGTGTAACTGTTTAAAGAAAACCTTCCTGTTTTCTCACTCTGTGACTCCCCTTGCCAGGGAGTCTGGTAAGTGCTCAGATTTCTGCTGGAAAATGAAACTTTCAAAATATAACTTTTTTCCTAAAGTTGTAATGCAGTGAAATATCAATTATTTTACTTTGAGCAGCAGGTAAAACAGGAACCTCTGTCTGTATGCTCTGTTTGCAAATAGAGCCACTGCTGAATGCATTTGAATGTCATGCACGACAAAAGAGTATACAATGGGATAAGAGACCTAGAGAGAGTATAGGTCTCTCTAGGGACCTTCTTGTCATCTGAAAACAAAAGTTCATTCTTGTGTGAGAGTTTGTGTAGACTGAGAATCTTCAGAAAGACAGAACTGAAGATTAGTGAGAAGTCACGTTTTCTTAGACCAAAGAAAACTGATTAAAAACCTATAATAATACATTAGCTAAGCACAGAATGCAAGCTGAGCAGGAGAGGCAGGGCACACCAGTGCAGGCTGCTGGGGGAGTGGGGAGCTCTGGGACTGCAGAACATCAAGGTGGTTGTCCACACAGCTGAGCCAGAGACAGCTTCTTTCATGGTGGGCTTTAGCTCAGAGGGTTCTTTATAACCTTTATAGTTGGTGGCTGTTTCAGTAGAGAAGGCCCTATATTATATGCTCTTGTCATAGTCTATAAGTTGAGAGAGAGCACTCTACTCTTCCACTCTTTCCACAAAGCCATCTCCTGTATAAATAATTAATCTGTCTACCTGTGCAATTGCTCATAGCTTTCCCAAGCAGCAGCTGTTGTTGATACATATTGCATGATTTTTCACTGCTGACCAAATGTTCTGATCTTTGGAAATAAAGCTGACTCAGAGGGGATTGATTTTGTTGGGCTTGCCAAAACAGTTAGCTATAGTACTGACAAACTTGCAGCAGATTCTGAAATGTAAAACAGCATCCTTTTATGTACTTCTTCAGATTTACATGAGTGTTTTTAAAACAAGCAAGAGCCAGAATTTACATTTTATTTTTATGCAGTGGTTTGAACAGTGGTTTACATCCCTAATTTTACCAGGAAGGCATTCTAGTAACCACTGACTTTTTTTTTTCTTTTTTAAAGTAATATGAAGTGGGGACTACTTAATTCATGGATTTTGCTCTGCTGTGTGTTTCACAAACACATTTTGTCCTGTTTCAACAGCCAATACTCTATGGTAGAAGATGATGAGGACTTGCCCCATCATGATGAGAGAACATGGAATGTGGGAAATATCAATAGAAGCCAAGCCGAAAATCTGCTGCGGGGAAAACGAGATGGAACATTCCTTGTTCGAGAGAGCAGCAAACAAGGCTGCTATGCCTGCTCTGTTGTGTACGTACCCTAATTTGTGAATGATGACATTTGAGGCACCTGCCGTGAGCCGAGGACACATAGACAATTTGAGTATGCTTGGATCCTACTAGTCCTTTGAGCTTAGCAGCACACTAGCAAGTCCTGAGGCCATCCTTATTGCTGCTCCATTTCTTTCACAGCTCGAACCTGTGCAACTCCCACAGATGAGCCTCATGCAAAAGAAGGGAAACCAAAGCACGGACACATTCTGTTCTGTGCAGCTGCTGAGTCCTGCCTGTCTCCTCCCTCTCTAAGCTAACACAACATCTGGGAATTTGGGTTAAACCTAGGCTTTTACCATTATCCTACCACAGAATACAGGAATTCTGTGTAGTGACTAGTATCTTAAAATTTATTGCCAGTACCTTATTTTTTAGTTTAACTTTACTGACAAACCAAAACCCATTTGTTTTGTTTGTTTTTTTTTCCTCTTTAGGGTGGATGGAGAAGTAAAGCACTGTGTGATAAACAAAACACCTACTGGATATGGATTTGCTGAGCCGTATAACTTGTACAGCTCACTCAAAGAACTGGTGCTACATTATCAACACACATCACTTGTGCAGCACAATGACTCTCTCAATGTCACACTAGCCTACCCAGTATATGCACAGCAGAGGCGATGAAGATCTTAATACTCTGGGTTGTTTGGGTTTTTTTCTGTAGAAAAGATTTGACAACATTGAGGCCTCTGGAGAGAAAAGGCTCCTTTCAGCCTTACTCAAGAATTTGAGCTGCGGTATCAAAGCTGTCTGTCTTCAGATGGGACTAGAGCTTTCTTTCACAACTGCAGTGGGAGAAATCACAGTACTAAGCTGTGAATGTATGTTTCTAATCTGAAGTGCTTTTTTTTTAATTAAGAAAAGAAAAACACAAGAGAGAGAAATCCGAACCTGATCTCCCTGCAGGGACATAGAGGCCTTTAAGCTTGGTGCTTGTTTACGACCACTCCTGAAGCTTTACCAGCTAGAACATTGGATTCTCCAGACACAAGGTATAAGAGGTCTTTGTCATTTGATTAGTGGAATTTTCATGGTCACAACCTGGCTTGGATTTGGTGTTGCTGCACTCAGTGGATCCAGACACACAGCATTGTGGATTTTTTGGTTTCTGGTGAATGATATGTAGCAGAATGGCACTTTTATTTCTAGGGACACTTTAAAAGGACTTCAGTTACAGTATGTTGTTCCGAGTAATTGTAATAGCAAAGTGCCAGGAAGTGTTTTGTTTAGATGTTTGAAATCCAGTTTTAAGAATATGAAACTGAAGAAAACGGGACTTTCAGTGGCATACAATATATAATTATGTACATAGTGTTGGATGACTAACTATCATGGATGGAAACTATCAATACCAAACTGCATCTTTTTTTCCTTTTCTGTTTGCTGAAAGCTAAATTCTTAGATCATGCTATGCAATACTGAATTTTCTTTAGGCTGTAGTCTTTTCTCAAGCATATCTACAGGTTAAGCTTGGTTTTCTTTCTTGATTCCCTGTCTTCTATTTCCTTTTGTTCTTTTGCCTGAGAATATATTTCCTGATGATTATTTTTTGTTACTCATTTTGTTGTTTGTTTGTTTTTTGGTGGGTTTTTTGTTGTTTTTGTTTTGTTTTTTTGTGGGTTTTTTTTTTTGTGGGTTTTTTTCCCTTTTTTTTTAATGTACAGAAAGCCAGCAACAGTTGGCTTCAGAATTAAAACTATGAAATATTCTACAATTTTCTTTGTATAGAATAATGATCTACTAGCTCAGAGTTTTAAGAGTTAGTATTTTTTTTTTTTTACTATTTTGTTGGGCAGTGCCTGATAAGCTTCAAAGCTGCTTTATTCAATAAAAAAATACATGAACATTATGAAACATCACTGAGTCCAACAATATTGTTTCAGAAATATCTTTAGAATACGGTACCACGCTGTTTGCTTCTTAAAGCATTTTGAACTTCTGTCATGATTGTCTTTGTATTTGGAAGATGAAAAATTGTGTATCCTTCTCTGATAGCAATTGCAGAAAAACAGGGGATATTTAGCTATTGGAGAAGATAGTTTGGATCTTAGAATGATTCCATTTTTCACAGTAAATAAAAGACTTCTTGACCTACTGTGGCAGAATTTTTGTCAGCATGTAATGGTATTTTCATTTCATATGAAGGAACTTTCTCTAACCTGTTGCCTAAGTTTGTTTTTTTTGTATTAGTATTGTGAAAAAGAGACTCCCACCTTTGCTGATAATGTTTGGATACAACATGGAGCTAATTAAGACTGGAAAATGTTTTTCAAATCATTAGGTTATCACATTTAACTTTTTGGATTTATTTCCATAAATTGTAGGCTCATACTATATCAAAGTGAATATTTTATAATTTCCGGCACCAGAGACTTACAGAATCATGTTTGAGTTAAAGGAAATGAATACATGAATTCCACTAACGCAGACTTACTAAGAATTCTGGGATAATTCACTGTGGGTGGTTTGCAATGGTTGCTTACTGTCCTGACCACTGAGAAAATTCACACATTGCAAACTGATAAAGTAATGAAGTTCAGAGAAACCTTGGAAATATTCTGACTAGGTGAACATACAGATTTATTCTTCCCCAGATGCAAAGGCAAGACCCATTACTATTAAAGAGCGTTGTACACACAACTAAAAGAGTAAGACCCATGGTGTTCTCTCATAATAGCTCTGGTTTAGAGATACATGTGTTTAGTTCAAAGTATGAGGTACTTCCTAAGCTATTGGAAGTAATAAGAGGAAATTTGCCAGTCTCTGGTAGTTTTCATATTATTTTTGATTCTTTACATTATTCCTTCATTTCTGAAGCTGTAAAGCTTTTGATTTTATTTTGATTTTGTGGTGGGGTTTTTTTCTTTTTTTTGGGGGGGGGGTGGAGGTTGTCTTTGCTTCCCTATAGGTATGATTCCTGATACAAATTCTGGTAAGAAAGTAAGATTCAACCAACATTAGGATTTCAGGATAGTCACAACTTCAAAATTATTCTGAATATCTTTTTCTCAATAGAAATTTAGTCTTCATCCCTTCCTTTATTCATTCCACACTTTTCAGGCCTGTAGAGTCATGTAAATTCAATTTACTAATAACTGGCTTTTACTATGAAAAGCACCATCAATTACTCTTATCATGCCAGTTATACTACTGGGCTTGAAGTTATAAATTAGTTCGATATACAACAGTTTAACACTTGTAGCAATCCAAGATACTCTTTTGACATATATTAATTTTTGAATGTTAAATATTTTAAGAGTAAAATTGTATTTTTTTCTCTATAAGCAAATATATGTAATCTGAATTGATGTTTCACGTAGCATTTGTCAAGAAATTTTATCGTAGTTAAGGCATTTGGATCTGATTTTCCTCATAGTAAGAAATCCTCTGCTATGTCAGTGGGCCTTATCCTTAGCATGCCCAGCCCAGTATGGAATATAACTTTTTCCTGTCGTGCTCTTCATCTGTGGTTGTAGCAGAGAAAAAAATAGTGTGTGTACAAATTTGGCACTTGCTTTTCTTGCACAAGCAACTATGAGAAATAAGCACTATGTTGTGGGGATGAGTGCTTAAGACTCTTATGGGGATATCCTGCCTACACAGGGTCTGTGCAATTTGCAAGGATCACTTACGCCCTCAGATTGGTTTGAGTGGGTTTTCTTTGGTACTTACATATTGCATGGCATCTGCATTTCCCTCTCTGCTTAATACACAGTGCTAAGTCCTGTCAAAGGCCCTGTTCACTGCAGAGTTGTTTGTCCTTAATGTACCATGTTGTTCACTCCAGTTTTGATTTGGTCTCAGACTAATATATACAGAAAAACCCCATGTGGGTATAACTGAAGAAACACATTGTTTTTCTGTATTTCTAATGACATATATTTTTTCCCATCCAATGTAATTCAAGGGTGGGATTTATTTGTCATGTATTTTTGGTTTGGAGTACTTTTATTTTAAATCCCTGAGTTACGCTGCACTGCAGGCCTTTGAAACATATAAGACATAACACAGAGAGCCAAAACCCATAAGCAAAATTAGGAGTTTCTGATTTCCCTAAGTTTAAATTTGAATTGGCAGGTTTGGGGATATGTATCTGTGCATATGTGTGCACACTTGCTGTGTTTATGTATGGATACCAATATAGGTGCATTTTCACCAAATGTGATCATTTTGCTGAATTCAGTAAGTGATATAATTGACTTTGTTTAAAGACACACGCACATGCACACTAGACCTTTGTGAGTGCAGCATGTTTCCAAATGCAGTTAGAAAACTGGGTTTCTGTGTTGTTGGATATTTTCTTAAAAAAAAAAAAAAAAAAAAAGAAGCTTGTCTGTATGGTTCAGTTATCTGAGAAATCTTGTCAAGCAATCTGTAAAACCAAATCTTAAATTTTCTATTTGGTGTCAACTGTTCTGTAGTGAAGAAATGGCTTTGTCTTGTAATTGGCAATGAAATAATAATGCTTGGGAAAACATTCTGATGCTTCTAATGGGCAAAACTTCTGCCGATTTTCACACAGTGCTTTTGCTATGCATGGTATTAAGTTGAGAAAGTGAATCCTGATACTGTTTCTCTTCAGGGTCACTTCAGAAATGGGCAGCTCAAACCACAATGCCTCCCATGGGACAGGGTTCCAAAATGCAACATTTGATATGGAATCATGTTGGATTTACTGCAGTTGAAGACTACAGTGGGCTGTGGGAGTTGGTAACATTGCATTGTACTTGTCCTAATGAGATTGCATTAGCTGCCCAAGATGCTGCTACTTTATTTTTTTTTTATTATTCTTGTTTTTAAAAATAAAGCTCTGTTCTGTTAAATGTCTTTAAAACATTAAGATTACTTTGTCTTTAAATGGTCTTTGAGGAGGTGGAGGGTAAAATAGGTTGGAAATTGCCTTTTCAAGGCAACAGTGTGACAGCATGCCTCCTTGAAATTTCGTTCAAGCTATAGAGTTGATGGAGCTGTGTCTTGTTTTTAAGTTGCTTTAAAACTTGTACTAAGTCTTCAAGCTGAATAAAGGTTGTTTTGAAACTGCATTTCAGTTGTTGAGTCTTCAGTAAGGACTGAACTGTTTACTAGCATCGTTGGCCTACTTTTCCTGTCTATATATGGCCTACTTTAAAAATGAGGCCCAAATGCTCATATCATTAGAGCAAATTAGGGGGCAAATAATCTCATCTGACTCACAGCCATCCTGTGAACTGAATGGAGTAGCTGAGTAGCTCCAAAATAGTTTTGTGTCAAGCAGTGGTAAAATGACAGAACTCATCTGATACTCTTGCAAAAGCAGTACAATGATCTATGATCTTCTTTTTATACTGCAGATGAAGTTCTGGTTCTTCTGAAATCAGTGTGAGTTTTGCCACTGATTTCCATGAGGCTAGCCTACCAGCATTTATAGCTAGAAGTCATTTACTGGCTTCGTGGCTGCATCTAACTGTGAAAATCAACATGAGAATGAAGAAAAGGAGGGAGGATGGGACTGAGCAAGACTGACTCTGAGCATTTTTTTCTTCCCGTTGTTATTGATGTATGTTATCTGACTTCTTCAAGCCCATTCATACCTTGCCCTAGGAGAGGTCCTTTTGGGAAGTCAGCCAGCCACCCTGGAAGCAGAAAGACCTTCATATTCCCATTCTGCCCAAGGTTTCCATTCCAAAATCTGCCGACATTTTGCTTGCAGTAGTCACACAATACCCCCTGACTGAGGTTCTCAGGCAACACAGGCCACACCATTGCCATTGGCCCTTACAGGTTCTCACAGGAAACTTAGATTGAAAGCAATTATCGTATTTTTAGCCCACTTAATAGAAAGTAGGGCTAGATCTCTGATGAATGTGTCTGTTGCAGTTTTTCTCAGCAAGCTGATTCTTTTAAACAGACACTGAGTTTATGTTGTTCCTGCTCCCTGAAACAGTGTTGAGCAACACAAATAATTCAGCAGCCATAGCAGCTCAACATCTAAACATAAAGTTAGCTAGGTCATAAATCACACATTGTTCATCATCAGCTATTGAGAGAAATTAAGAGTGGCTGATCATAATCAGCAGAACCCTGCTTTCCGCAGGTATCTTGCCTGTATCATACATTGTAGAGAAATCACTCTTGGCAGATTGGAAAGATAGTATGCAAAAATGGCATTCTATGTTTGCTATCTGCAGACAAACACATCCCCACTTCCCCTTGCTGATCTCTTGCTAAGGCTCAATGGTCATTTCTCATAGGGAATATTAAAAACTGCTTAAATCTCTGTGCAGTTGCAAGTGGGTGTGATAGGTTTAAAGGCTTGGGAATGTTCATTGTGGGATTTTTCCTACCCAAGCCACTCGACTCGTGTGAAGCCGCATGTGAGTAACTTCACGCAAATCCCTTTGTCTGAGCTGTGAGGCCAAAAAGGGAAGAGGAGATGTGAAAACTTCCCACTGCTGCCTTCTCCAGGCCTCACTGTAGGGACAGGTGGCATCTGCTTCCCTCAGCCCCCAGCCCCAGCATCCTACCCCAGACCCAGCACCCAGGATCACGCAGGGACTCTTTGGGGATGATCACATTTAGGATACACCTCACATTTACCCCATGGGTCTGACACAACACAGGGGCCCTTGTTTCAGAGGTGGAAACCGGGAAAGTGGCAAACGGTGAGGTCCTGCCAGCACCCTGTTGGAAAAAAGGCTAAAAATAATCAGTGGCGCTTTCCCTGCAGGATGGCACACAGGGGAGTGGCACTGGACGTGCTCCCTGTCGGACATGGGCTGTACAAAAGGCACTAGGCCTCCTCCATCGCCTCTGGAACAACAGGAAGCATAAACTGTGTGAGCGCTGCAGAGGACGTGGTTCTGGTGTCTCTTTTTTAATCCCTTTGAAGGACCTATGTCCTCAAATGCGTAAGGTACCAAAAATAGAAACGTGAGGGACTTTCTGCGCAAACAGATGCATCGATCCGCCACTATTCAAACTTTGGATAATCTTTGCCGGGACCAGCACTTTAACCTCTGAACAGCAATCAGATAACCAGAAACGTCCCGACACTTCTTTGAAAAGGCAGGTTTTTACCCATGGCTGCACCAGGCCATGATCCCTGCCAGAGCAGCA